ATAAAATAAACAAATTGGACTATATCAGACTAAAGAGCTTCTGCAAGGCAAAGGAAACTATGAACATAATGAAAAGATGACCCACGAACTGGGAGAAAATATGTGCAAATAGTACATCCAACAAGGGGATGATCTCCAAAATATATAAAGAACTCATACAACTCAACAATAAAAAAATGACCTAATCAAAACAATAGGTAGAGGATATGAACAGACATTTTTCCAAAGAAGATATACAAATTGCCAACAGGCACATGAAAAGATGTTCAACATCACTAATCATTAGGGAAATGCAAATCAAAATACCATGATATCACCCTACACCTGTCAGAATGTATATAATTAACAAGACAAAAAATAACAAATGTTGGAGAGGATGTGGAGAAAAGGGAACACTCATAAACTGCTGGTGAGAATATAAACTGATGCAGCCATTATGGAATACAGTGTGGAGAGTTCTCAAAAAGTTAAAAATAGAAATACCATAGGATCCAGCTATCCCATTGCTGAGTGTTTAGCCAAGTCGCTTGAAATAAACAATTCAAAGAGACTTATGCACCCTTGTGTTTATCGCATTATTCACAATAGCCAAGATGTGGGAGCATGCCAAGTGTTCACGAACAGATGAATGGTTAAAGAACATGTAGCATATGTATGCAATGGAATACTACTCATCCATAAAAGAAGACAAAATTGTCCCATTTGCAACAACATGGATGGATCTTGAGGGCATTATGTTAAGTGAAATAAGACAGACAGGGAAAGACAAACACTGCATAATTTCACTCATATGTGGAAGATAAACAAAGTCATGGACAAAGAGAAGAGATTAGTGGTTACCAGAGGGGAAGGGGGTTAGAAGGTGGGTAAATCCAGCTTCAGCAAGGAGTCCTTTCTCAGAATTTCTCCCACTAATGTAGTGTTGTGTGTGAAAAAAAACACGAAACAAAAAAACAGAAAGAAAACAAATCTTCTCTCTTCTGGCCATAGTGGGCTTGTGTCAAGCCTATTCATAGTCCTCAGATTCTCACAATGTGTAAATTAGACATTTAGGTATTCTTTTCCTATAAAGAACCTGTGATTGAGTCAGATGGCCCAAACTCAGTGTATTACACAATCAGTTAGTCATAGTGTTCCCATTAACACCTCCTATCTGATAAGCACTGGCACTGAAACCAGTGGAGACAGCAAGCACACATTATTTAGAGTCAGAAAACATGAAACTCTTGTTCTGCCCATTAGTGTCTAAATCTACCTTTCTGGCAGTGGAGTTGGGGGTGCTTTGTGCAGCCAGTAAAGTCAGAGATCCAGAAATAACCTATCATCTCCAAATATAAGTCCAGTGAAATAATTGAAAAGGACCATAACCTCTTGACTAAGAAAAAATGCTGAGGACAAAAGTTGGAAGGAATTTTCTCCTGATAGAGTGAAGATGAGCAGAATCTCTGAAATGCTAATGAATCTCTTACAGAAAAATAGCAAATTGATGTGGAAACAAAACAATCAATCATAAAGCAGTATTTCGGGGCTGAAAATATTAGCTTCATGCTTGAAGTAGTTCTCCCCATAAAGTGCAGGGAGGATGGTAAAAATTGTGAAATATTAAATTATTAAATTTTGCAATAATAGGGATTTTATTTTTTTTAAAAAATCATAGATAATACTTGTTCTTAACCCTTGTTTATAGGGTTAATTAATGAGCTAGGTTTGTCTATGCAAGCACTATTGTAGTGTCTTAGAGAAAACCATAATTTTTTTTTTGAGGAAGATTACTGACCTAATTACTGAGCTAACTACTGCCAATCCTCCTCTTTTTGCTGAGGAAGACTGGCCCTGAGCTAACATCTATGCCCATCTTCCTTTACTTTATGTGTGGGACGCCTACCACAGCATGGCTTTTGCCAAGTGGTACCATGTCCGCACCTGGGATCCGAACCGGCGAACCTCGGGCAGCCGAGAAGCAGAATGTGTGAACTTAGCCACTGTGTCACTGGGTTGGCCCCCAAACCATAATTTGAACAAAGTAATCTTAGCTTCTGTAATACAGAATTGCCATTGTCTTCATAAAATTTACCCCACATCCACAAATCTACTTCTACAAAGAAAACCAGTGCCCCTTAAGGATGAGAAAATAAATAGAACATGTCAAGATGATGTTAACAATGCATGATATTCTTCAAAGTTCTACTCAGAGGAATTGCAGAAAATAATACACATACAAAATCAATAAATAAGGAATTAGAACATTTTCCTTCAGGTAGTATCAGACCATTAAAAGTATTTCTTCTTCTAGGACATCCAGGCACTCTGACTGTATTTGGGAAATGAAGAGTACATGAAATCATATTCCATAGAGAGACTGAAGGAAACTCATCTACCATGGAAGAATTGTTTGGAAAAACAAAGCAAATTAATTGCAAACAGGAGTATTTAGCCATTTAGAAGTAAAGAAGAAAAAGAGGTATTCCCACAGGGAAGAAGTGAATATTTCCTCTGTAAATAGGACATCCTTTTTTTTTTTTTTAAAGATTTTATTTTTTTCCCCCTTTTTCTCCCCAAAGCCCCCTGGTAGATAGTTGTATATTCTTTGTTGTGGGTCCTTCTAGTTGTGGCATGTGGGACGCTGCCTCAGCGTGGTCTGATGAGCAGTGCCATGTCCGCACCCAGGATTCGAACCAACGAAACACTGGGCCACCTGCAGCAGAGCGCGCGAACTTAACCACTCAGCCACGGGGCCAGCCCCAATAGGACATCCTTTTTAAAAAGCAAATTAGGGGCCAGCCCAGTGCCTTAGTGGTTGGGTTCCCACACTCCAAATTTGTGGGCAGCCCATGGTTCATGGGTTTGGATCCCAGGCAAAGACCTACACACCACTCATCAAGCAATGATGTGGCAGCCTCCCACATACAAAGTGGAGGAGGATTGGCACAGATATTAGCTCAGGGACAATCTTCCTCAAGCAAAAAGAGAAAGGTTTGCAACAGATATTAGCTCAAGGCCAGTTTTCCTCACCAAAAAGTTAAATAAAATAAAAAAGCAAATTGAGTTCTTGTTTACAAATGGTGTAGATCCCAAACAATTTAATATTTAAAAATATAAAAACGTCATCAATAAGAAAGAATCAACTTCAGCAAAATTGGAAAACGTAAATTTGAACTATAGATATGTTGATATTCTATTTCAATTCAAGATGATTTTTTAATTTGAGGATGAAGATTCAATGAATAATATCAAACTACTAAAATCATGAGTATATGTTGGTTGAAAACTCATTCATTATTTAAGACAGCAACTGTAGATTTCTGAATTAAAAAATTAGATAATGTGATTGAAGCATTTGAAATAAACTCCTAATTTGTCTATTGTTAACAATTACAATAATGTTAAAAATTATTCATTTTAAGAACTAATATATTAAGAAAATATAATCAACTGATGATATATTGTATTCAAATTAATCAATCATTTTGCTACTCCAATAAAATAAATGTTGTCTTTATAAATAAAAGAATTTCTATGAGATGGACTCTCCTCTTATTAGGGAATCTCCTTTTATTTGGGAAAATATGAAGCATTAATTTCATCCAAACTTTAATTTCCTGGAAAAAATATATGTGGTGTAACGTTTTTTGCTCATATCCTATGTTTATGTTGCCTAATCAAATCAGACCATAAACATGGCAAGATTTGGGAGCAACCTATGACTGCATTTGCTAAGTATTTTATCTATTAATTTTACTTTTCCCTAGAAACATTTAATTTTGGCTCAAAATAAAGCAATACGCCCGTAGGGGAACAGAATTTCCCACCTCAGGATATATTTCCTTGGCATGAGGATTATTTTGGGCTGGTTATTTTTTAAAAAAAAATACTGCAGACATGAGAGAAACTCCAAAAACCAAGCAGAAGTTATCCTTTGTAAGAGACATTTACATTTGTAAGGGAAATCTGTACCTGGAAGGGGGAGGTGACCTTATCTCTAGAAACTTATCAATGTGGAAGTCAAGGACTTAAATCTTTAAATCTGCATAATAACCTTACTCTTGTATTCTATGCTGCTTCTGGTAATCTCTCATATCTGACCCCCCCCAACTCGCAACTTCCTCCTTTATATTTAGCTGAAGATGATATTTAAGGTGACAACCTCAGTCATTCTGGTGAGTTGCTCAGTTTTTCTGGGTTTCTGCCATGTATACATGTTATGAAACTTTATTGGATTTTTTCTTGTACTTCTGTCTCATGTCGATTTAATTCTTAGACCAGCCAGAAGGACATAGAGTGTAGAAGAATTGTCTTCCTCCTCTACAATGCCTAAATATTATTAGGATTAAAAATAGTTAAATGTCAAAAGTTGTGTAGTGTAAGCAATAAAATCCATTTTAATTCAACGAATTAGAATGAGAATTACTCGAACCTCATGACATTGAAAATTAAAGATTTGTCTTTTATATTCTCATTGTATTTTTAATTACTCTTTCTCACTTCATAGAACATAACCAATTCTAATGATAATTTCTACTTTTAATTTAATTCAGAATCATATATGGAGTAAGGTAGTGGGGGAGAGCCTTGTGCTATATCCTTTATAGAATGAATCATGGGATCTAATGTCAAAGGTAGAAAAGACATGCATGCAAATAGTCAATGGAACATTATGTTAGATCTTATAGACCAGGTATTATATTATGGACTAGATTTATTGGGAAAAATATTCATGGAAGTTGGTCAATTGATAATTGATTTGGAGTTTTGACAGGAATAAATAGCTCATCTGCATTCTCCCTTCTTACACTAAGTTAAATAAAAACATCTAGCTATATGGATCTTATTCGTCTAATTAGAATGCAAATCTAACATTATAAATCTTTTAAGCATTTTATTTCTTGAATTAATTCTTTTTCTGCAGATGACTTCATAGCTCCTGGTTTCACATCAAATCTCCCAGAATCACAGAATACAAATGTCAGGAAGTAATTTAGAAATTGTAAAGGCCAAAGCTCATGTCCCAATCCAATTATAAAAGAGGAAAATGCAGCCAAAAAAATGTAAGTCCACAGAGAGAAAATAATTTGAAAATTACAGAAACCAACTTCACTATAATGACACAATTTTTTCTCTTGGGCTTTTCTGATATTCCCACATTCCACTGGCTTCTTTTTGGGATATTCTTAGTCATTTATATTATTATCCTGTTGGGAAATGGCATCATAATTCTAATAACAAGAATATATTCCTCTCTTCAGACTCCCAGGTATTTTTCCCTCAGCAATTTTTCCTTCCTAGAAATCTATTATGTATCTATCGCACTTCCCAGAATGCTCATGGACCTTTGGACCCAGGAAGGAGCTATTTCTTTTTCAGCTTGTGCTACACAAATGTGCTTCTTCCTTATGCTGGGAGCCACTGAGTGTTTCCTTCTGGCCCTGATGGCCTATGATCACTATGTGGCCATATGTAACCCTCTGCACTACCCTCTAGTCATGAACCACAAGATCTGTGTCCAGCTGGTGGGTGCCTCCTGGATCAGTGGACTTCCAGTCGAGATAGGGCAAACATGCCAGATTTTATCTCTGCCCTTTTGTGGTTCCAGTCAAATCAACCACTTCTTCTGTGACATCCCCCCATTATTGAAGCTGGCTTGTGGAGACATCTTTGTGAATGAGATAGTGGTCTACATATTTGCTGTATTGTTTGTCACTGTTCCTTTTATGTTGATACTTAGGTCCTATAGTAGAATCACCTTTACTATCCTGAAATTGCCATCAAACACAGGATGGACCACAGCATTTTCAACGTGCTCTTCCCACCTCATGGTTGTAGTTTTATTCTATGGCTCAGCCACTATTGCTTATTTAAAACCTAAATTCAGTCAGTATGAAGGAATGGACAAACTACTCTCTCTTTTCTATGCCATTTTAACCCCAATGTTCAATCCTATGATATATAGTCTGCAGAACAAAGATGTCAGAGAGGCACTGAGAAAATTTCTTCTCAAATTTTCAGCACTGTGAGGCATTTGAACTAATAAACTACGGTTTTATGTATTTAATTTGCAGGCAGATTTAATTGAAATCTACTTGTCACTATTGTCCTAAATTTTTATATAAGCTAGTGATGTAATTTCCTCTGGTAGACACTTATTTTCTCAGTTATGATAATTGTGTTCATTTATTTAATAGTTTTACTTTTAAAGATCAGTTTCCTCTTCCCTAGTAAACTAGTAAACTGAGATGTGTAACTAAATAAAATAATGTGGCTATGTTCTATAATTGAAATCATACTGTTTTTTAATTCTTTTGCTGATTCCTTTCTAGACATTATCTTAGCATTCTATATTAAAAAAGAAAACATCCGGAGATGCTGCAGAGTCATTACTGAAAAGAAAGAAAAGATTTAACATAAAAGGATGTATGTATAAGAAAGAGTAACACAAATAATGAATGTGTAGTGTTTACTGCAGCACTATTTTTCCAGGCAAAACAACTAGAAAAATGAATGCTTATATTGAGAAATATTTTAGTAAATATTGTGCATAAATAGAGCAGACACTTATGGAGTCATTAAGAAGACTATGTTGGGGGCTGGCCCCGTGGCCGAGTGGTTAAGTTCTTGCACCCCGCTACGGCAGCCCAGGGTTTCGCTGGTTCAGATCCTGGGCACGGACATGGCACCACTCGTCAGGCCACGTTGAGGCGGCGTCCCACATGGCACAAATAGAAGGACCCACAACTAGAATATGCAACTATGTACTGGGGAGATTCGGGAAGAAAAAGCAGAAAGAAAAAAAAAAGAAGACTATGTTGCACATATATGGTAACGGCCCCCAATAAATCTTTCCTTCTTGTACCCATGCCCTTTTTTATCCCTTCCCACCTTGACTCTGGATTTAGCCATGTGTTTATCTTTGGTGAATAGGACATTACTAAACATCAATAGTACCTGGTCATTAGGACTTGTCTTTTCTAGGAAGGGAAATCTTTCCACCAGTAGGTCAAAAAGACCAGACTAGACTCCTGGACAATGAGAAGGAAATAGAAAGAAGCCACAGCTCATATACAAACCATATAATGATGAAATCAATAAAGAGAGTTACAATATGCTATTTTAAAAGTTTTGGAAACTATTATTTGACACACTCTACTAGATATTTAAACCACATATTATGCATATGCTTTTAAATTTTGTTAGTCTCTTTCTATACTGAAATGTGCATTTTAGTTGGTGTTCCTAGAAATGCCCATATGTGATAGACTTTCTAATTCCTTGCATATCTGAAAATTTCTTTCACAAGGTAAAACTCTCTGGTGTGAAATAAAAGTCTCTGTGCTGAGTACTGTAAATAAAAATTTAAAAGGCCAACACTAGTAATACAAAGGGAAAAATACACATGCTGTCAGATATTGAAATTGTGGATAAAAATGTATGACCTAATTTTTTTATCTATACTTCCCCAAAACAGCATAGGCATTGTTTTTAAAGCAAATACTAATCAAGATAAACCAAAAGCTATGGGTAAATAGGAATTATGAGGAAATTTCTGGGTTTGATAGGTATGTTCTTTATTGTGATTGTGAAAATGGTTTTATTGGTGTATGCATATGCAAAATATGTCAAATTGTAAGCTTTAAATATGTATTTTTTATTATATTTCAGTGCCTCTAACAAAACTGTTCAAACATTTAAAAAAACTGAAATCAAAACAGAAACTTTAAGTAAAAGAAAACAAAGAAAATCCATTATTACTAGACTTGATCTACTAGAACTGCTAAACAAATCCTTCAGCCTGTAGCAACATGCTACCAGAGAAAAGTGCTTATCTCGTAAAGAATTAAGTGTCATGAAAAAATAGGGAAAATAAAAATAACCGTTAAATATTGTGTTTTTGTTTTAATTTCCTTTAAAATACATATTACCTTTAAAGAAAAATTTTGAAATTTTTATAACACCCAGTACGTAACAGGTATCTTAGGTCATGTGGTAACTTGTGGCCCATGGTCAAGCATTCAGTTTTTGCAAAGGCCTAGAGCTTGCTCTCAAAAAAAGGCTATTTATCCACAGAGAATGGCAGGGACTTGCTTCAATAGCTAAGGGCTGTGCTGTAATTCACCTATAGGGGCCTGTGAAAGGTTCTAACCAGCATCCCTATCTGCCACTGATACTTCAAGCACCATTGGATCTACTGAAACAAATGGCTCAAGTCACAGAGCAGCTTACACAGTAGCCTGGAGCTGTTGAAGAGTCTTCTCTTGTTCTGGGCCCCACTCAAAACTAGAAGCTTTTGGATCACTTTGTAAACAGATCAGAGTAACACGCCTAAATAAGGAATATGCTGCCTCCAAAATCCAAAGAGGCCCACTAGGTATTGTGCCTCTTTCTTTGTTGTAGGAGAGACTAGATGTAGCAGCTTACCATGACTGCACTTTAGAAGAGATATCTCCACATACCCCACATTAGTGGACCTCTAGAAGTTTCACTGAGATAGAAGGCCCCAGGAATTCAGTTGGATTTATTTTCCACCCTATGGTCGAGAAATATCATACCAATGACTAGAGTTGTTGCTATCTCTTGCGCACTAGGTCCAATCAGCATAATGTCATCTATGTTATGGGCCAGGGTTATTCTTTTTTGGAAAGGAAAGGTGATCAAGATCCCTGCAAACTAAATTATGACAGCCAGTTGGAGAGTTTATACACCCCTGAGGTGAGAGAGTGAAGGTGTATTGCTGGCCTTGCCAGCTGAAAGCAAACTGCTTCTGGTGAGCCTTATGGACAAATATAGAGAAAAAGATTGGTAGCTACATAACAGGTACCAGAGCATGTGTTAGTTTGCTCAAGCAATGAAACCACATCTGGAACATCAGCTGCAATTGAAGTCACCACTTTGGTTAAGTTAATGATAATCCACTGTCATTCTTCAACATCTATCTTTTGCACAGGTCAAATAGAAGAGTTGAATGTTAACCTGGTTGGAAGCATCACCTCTGCATCTTTTAAGTCCTTGTAGGTGGCACTAATTTCTGTAACCTCTCCAGGAATGTAGTACTGCTTTTGATTGGCCATTTTCCTAAGTAAAGTAAGTTTTAAGGGCTTCCATTTGCACTGTCTCACCATAATAGCCTCCACTCCAGAGGTTAGGGAACCAATGTGGGGATTCTGCCAACTGCTAAGTATATCTATTCCAATTATGCATTCTGGAACTTGGAGATTAACCACAGGATGGGTTTGGGGACCCACTGGGCTCACTATGAGATAGATCTGAGCTAAAACTCTATTGACCATTTTACCTCAATAAGGCTCTACTCTCACTGGAGGGCCACAGTGATATTTTGGGTCTCCTGGAATCAGTTTCAGTTCATAGGCAGTGTCCAGTAGTCTGAGGAAATTATGATTATTTCCTTTTCCCCTTTGCAATTACCATGGTATAAGTGCATAGGTCTTTGAGGAAAGCTGGGAAAAAGATTAACAGCATAAACTTTGGGTAGTGTACTAGGTCCTTCATTAAGGGAACCCAACTCCCCTTCATTCAAGGAGATCTTCAAGAATGTTGATCTCCTCTGCCAAATGTATTTCTCACAGTGCTGGTGAAAGGTATGTCTTCTGGATCCTCCCAGGTTGGACAAGTACATCTTAAATGACAGATCTATGCTAACATTCTATTACCCTAAGACATTGAATCCTTTCCCTACATTAAACCAAATCAGACTGCATATCACCAATTTGCTCACTATGGGCCACCTTTTGCTCAATGTTTTAGCCAACTATTCAAACAAACTCTTAGAATCCTTTCTAACTCCCTGATCTGCAACATGACGTGCAGTCTTTGCTTAGTAGACCCATATCAATAAATTTAGCCTGATCCAATGTCATGTTTCTTCCATCATTACCATACAACCTTTATATATACATGTTCCCCAAATTACTGTCTGTATAAGTTAGAAAACTCAAGTAGTTCTTTTGAAATGTAGTGTACATCTTCACAGGTCACACTTCATATCTCACCTTTAAGGGCCTGCTCGGACTTGTGTCTAATTATAGATCTAGAAGCAAAGAAGGATGGTGGAGATGGGTCCAGATGAGAATTAGAATTTTATTGTATGATAACTACCCCAGGAGAGGCTATAACATTTTCCTTAGGTAATGGAAGATTAATCTGCTCAATTGATGTCTGCTTGGCCATTAGAAGTAGCCTTACCATCAAAATTTAGGGGATCAATGTCCCTAGCTGCATCAGGGTCTTCTCATATGTTTCCATTCCATTTTTCAGTATCCCAATTTTTTCCCCAACTGATGCCCTCACTTTAGCAGTGGACACTCTGCAAGACTTGAGACTTTTCAGCAAACTCAGCTCTGTACCTACAGGAGATAAGGGCAGACAAAGAAACTTTGAAGTCATTTATGTGGTTCTTAAGGTGGGAATTTTAATTCCTGAGCTCATGTTCTCTTTCCCCTCTTTGTCGAATGATATTAGGGGCAATAAGCCAATCTTGTTACACTTGTTAGTTTCATAAAAATGCTTGAAAATATCATACACATGGTCATCCAGACACTTCTTTCTTATAAACATTTTATTAGGAGTATCCAATTGTAATATTTCGCATATCTCTATTGTCATATCATACCACAGACTGTCAGTTTTTCTCTTTAGTACTGGAAATAGGGTCATTAAAGTCTTTAAATGACACTAACACTTAACTGTCTTGGGTAGCCAATTCTGGAAACTTCAGAACCAATTCAGAAAATTCATCTTTAAAACTCTGATTCTCTAGAACAATTGTCATTAACAAAGTTTGCATTACTCAAGGTTTTCCAGAGAAACAGAACCAATAAAATGTATAAGTACATATATAAGGAGAGATGGAGTGAGATTTATTATAAGAATTGCCCTACAGGGGCTGGCCCCATGGCTGAGTGGTTAAGTTTGAGAGCTCCGCTTCAGTGGCCCAGAGTTTCACCCATTCAGATCCTGGGTATGGACATCACACCCCTCATCAGGCCACACTGAGGCAGCATCC